GTAGGCATAAAGAAGCATATAGAAACTTAGGAAATCCATTCACTACCATCAGGTACGTCTCAACTCATAAAGACCTTCCCCAGGCTTTTCAAGGTTGTATGTAAATCGTAATGAAAGGAGATTGTCCATCTTTTCCCCTTGAATTCGGTAGTGCTTTCGAAACCCCAGAGATGGGCAGACTTTTGGTTAGCAACACATGCTATGGGCTCTAAGACCAGAGCTCCTAAATTCAGGGAATTTGCAAAGACAAATTAAGACTTGAATATTAGATCTATAATTAGATAAAAACGTAAGTTGAGGGTTTGTTGTTCAAAATACTCAAACAGAAATATGGTTAGATATATGGTAAGAAAAAACATGTATTAAGAGTTTGTTGTTGAAAAATAACACATTTGTCATCAAAAGCACTTCATAGGAACCAATAATCAAAAAGGTCTACCATCACCACAAAGCTATAATCATCAAGGCAGTGTGGTGTTGACATAAGACATTATAGATCAATAGGTAGCTCTGGCGGCCTAGTGGCAAGAAGGTGCACTGCAATCTCAAAGGCACAAGATTTAAGCCCACCAGCTGCTCTACAGGATGAGCAATCTCCTCTTCTGCAACTTACTGCCTCTGAAAATCTGATGGAAGGTCAAGTATGAGTCAGTTCTGACTCAATGGCACACAACAACAACAAATACAGATCAACTGGATTACACTCAGGCCAGAAATACTTTACAGTCAACTGATTTATGGCAAGGGTGCTAAAATAACTAAACAGGAAGAAAACTGGTTTTTTAAACAAATAGTACTAGGACAATGGGGCAGCCAAATACCAAATAAAGTTGGGCTCTTATCTCACACCAAATTTAAGTTTTCTCAAAATGAACAAAGACCTATGTATATAACATATAGGTCTTCAAAATCTTGGGCTAAAATAAAGGTTGGCCTAGTGGCTAGGAGTTGCACTGCCAATCTAAACAGGTGATTTGAATCCAGCAACTGCTCCTCAGAACAATCCCTACAGCCTTAAAACCTGCTGGGGGCTCAGCTATGAGTCAGTTTTGATTCTGACACTTAAAAACCGTGGAAACAGCCAAATCAGAAAATATCTATCTGGGAGGCTGGGATCAATTAGCCTCAAAGCCTTAATTTAGCATACCCTGCAGGGCTAGCTGATCCAAACTCCTGAACCCTGAGCCTCTGAGGGCTTCCTAATAAGAACATTTGCTGTCTGGAAGGTCACATGTCCTTTGGATATGGTAGCTTTGAGCTAGAACCCTCCTAGATCTTCCCCTAGGTCTTTATTGGAGTTTATCTGTCATGGACTGAATTATATCCCCCAGAAATGTGTCAACTTGGCTAGGCCAGGATTTTCAATGGCTTGGCAGTTAAGTGATGATGTGGTTTCCCCCATGATGTTATGTGCTGTCAAGGTGGAACAGACTGCATGGAAGGAGAGGGCTCATCTTTTTCCTGCAGAGCGGCTGGCAGATTCAGTGTACCTTTGTACTGACAGCACAGTTCATTACCATTAAGCTACCAGAGTTCCCATGATGAGATCAGCTAATCCATTGGAAGGGGATTAGGGTGAAATGAAATATTCTCTCAGGTCACAGCCCTGAGCAAGCCGATGGAAGAAGAGTTTCTTGGGAGTATGACTTTGCAACATTTTTTTGTCTCACAAGACAAACAGAGAGGAGAACACAAGAGGAACTTCAGGAACACCTAGAGCCTGGAACACACTGCAACCGCTGGACTTGGGGCCCCCGTACTAAAAACCTCCTAGCCTGAGCCATGCCCATGGAAGATGGCCAAGGAACTCTGGACCCACAGATGCTGAAAGGAGACAAGGATCTTCCTCCAGAGCTGCCAAACTGGAGGATGGTGGCTAAGAGCAAAGTGGCATGAGGGTAACTGACAGAGACTGCAGAAATAGGAATATATGGATTGAGCTAATCTCTGCACTGAGGGCTAGATTCAACACCAAAATTAAAATTAAATGGATAAATGGGACTTCACTAAATTGAAAACTTATTACAAAAATAACACAAAAAATGTAAATATATATCAAGGGATAAAAAAAATTGCAAATCAGATAATAAAGAACATGTATACAGTGTAAGCCTAGAAAAGTAGGAGGTCAAGAGGAAAGAAAGGTTCTCTGTGAGTGAAGATTGTGAGGATGACACCAGATAGGGCCACTATATGGGTCAGAGAAGACTCCAGGAACTTAAGGTAGACAAGGACCACTCTCCATTGTATGTATAAAAATTCTTACAACCAAGTTAAAAAAACAACAACAAAATAAAGCCAAATAAACCTAGTTTTTAATGATCAAGGAACTAATACTCCTTCAAAAACAATATATAAATGGCCAACAAACACATAGCATGAAAAGATGTTCATCATCAGATTCAACGAAAATGCAAATGAAAACCACTACTAGTTCCCATCACACCCACTGGGATGATTACAAAGACAGACAGTAACAATTGGGGGTAAGTGTGTGAAGGAACTCCATACACAGCCGGTGGAATTGTAAAATGATGCAACCACGTTGAGAGAGTTCAGCAGTGGCTCAAAATTTAAACTAATAGTTACCAGCCTGTTATGTACCATCAAATCAGAACTGATTCAGAGCTGACCCGTCAGTGAGTTTTCAGAGGCAGTAAACTGCAGGGGACATTGCCATTTTTCTCCTGGGGAGCATCTGATAGAATCAAACTCCTTGTCACTAAGCCATCAGAACTTCCTTTACCAGATTATATACCACATGTTGTTGTGCACTACAGAGTTGGAACCGACCCACAGGAAAAAAACTTTTCAACAGGTTTTCAGAGGCAGTTAATCACAAGGGAGGAGATTGCCCATCCTTCTCCCATAGAGCATCTGGTGGCTTCGAACTGTGTATCTTAGGGACTGCAATGCAGCTCTATGCCACTAGGCCACTGATGGTAAATTCCAGTTTTTAATTATAAATACATTTTTATTGCAATTAGTCAGTGAATACTTGCTGTGTGCTATCAATTTGAAACTGACCCACACAGCTGGCTCTGCAATGGGTTTTCAGGGGCAGTAATCACACGGGAGGAGATTGCCCATCCTTCTCCAGTGGAACAGCTGGTAGATTTGAACCACATGTCTTCTGGATTGCAATGCATATTCTTACAACTAGGCCACCAAAATAGGTAATATTTAGTAAAAAAGAAAAAGCTAAACATTAGTATTCTTAAAGTGTGTAATAGCAAACTAGAAATACCTATGATAGTACAAGACACACCAAATCATCTATCAAGTCTAGTTCCAGTTATGTTTCCAAGGAGGTATCAATGCCCACACCCAAAACCTGCACAATGGGTAACACTTCTTTTTGGGGTGATAAAAATGTTCAAGAAGTGACTTAGTGATAGTTGCACCCCACAATTACACACACACACAAACTGACTCCTACACTTCAAGTGTTTTTATATAGTATATGAATTACATTTAAGTCAAGGGTCATATGATTTTAAAACATCTGTGCTGAGTTTTGGACTTAATTCAGGGAGATGGATAGTTGATTGTCAGCAGCTGTTAACATAACATGTTTGATCCAGGAGCTGCAAGAAGTGAACCAGATGAGAAGGGACACCACAAGCAATTTGCTCTTTACAAAACTATTCTGTAAATAAAACGGAATTAAAAAAAGGGAGGGGTATAAGTGGAACAGCTAACAGTCACTCCAGTAGTTATGCTGAATATTCCTGTGCTAGTGCACGTCTTAAAATGAAGTTAAGCTCTAGCTGCATCATAAGGTTGAGGTCATCTGATATCCTCATATACTTCCTTTCTATGGCCCATTTCATCCAGCAAACAGAAATCTCCTTCTTATGAATTTACTTTGTCATTCCACCCAGGAACTGAAATTGTAGCTTCAGAAAATTATTCAATGTTCATAAATTTTAGCTATGGAATCCTTTTTCCCTTTAGTAAGGGGGAGGGGAGCAGGAGAACAGCCTGTTGTTGCATGCCATTTGTTCAAGGGAACCTTCTTGAAACCCTGCTTCCTGTCACAGTCAATACGCAAGGTTTAGTAATGAGAATCAGTTCTCTGAAGACTAGAGGTCTTAAGAGGAAGCCTGGAATTCAAGACCTACCACACTCTACACTTCCAACTTACTCTTGCCTGTCTTCTCTTCCACTCACCTTTTGTTCGAACAGTCTATAGATTATTTTCAAACCTGATTCGAGCTTTCCTTTCCATGATAGTGCTGGCCACATTCTTTCTTTCCTTATAAACACTATCCAATATGTAGTCTCCATTAAGAATTTTTCCAAATTTTACATTTAAAATTCAGTGTACAAGTTCAACTTCTTATGTAACCCTTTCTAACAAAAATGTGCCTTCAAGAAGTACTAAAAACTTATTATCACAAAGCAGCAGCCATGATATCCCAAAAGCACCAAGAGCAAATGCAAGGGACATAGTGCTAACACTTTGTCTCCCCTTAGAGAATTAAATCACTAACTGGGTAAGGCCCGTGAAATCTTAAATGATTACAACAACTATTTACTGAAAATATTAATCTGTTTTTAAGTCATATAAATCATTTTAATATAGACATTCAATATGGCATTTTCCCCATTGCTCCCAAGATTTCTTCTCTTTCTGCTGCTGTGGGCATAGGTGGCTTCACTCCATTCTGTCTTCTCTGGATCATGACAGAAATCTGCATGTAGGCATAAAAAAAGAACAAGTCATGTATTAATTATTAATCATTTGTCAGTAATTTGCTATTGCTAATTCAAAGACTAAATTCTAAAACCAAATTAAAAGCAAAGCAAAAAAATCTAATTCTGGACTCTAGGTAAATGTTTTCCAACTATTAACATGTAAACAGGAGTAATTCTTTCCATAGTAGTATGTTTATAGTAATTAGAATGGAGAGAAAAGGGAATATAGTCTACCAAGAAAAACTATTAAATATCTCTAACTAACACCAATAGTTCACTAAAAGGAAAGTAAGTGGCTGGTCCAGTGTGTAGAAAACAGTAATTGTGTATCAATATCTTAAGAAAAATGGGATTCTGCATTACCATGGGTGGCAGTGTTAAGGAAGAGCCTGAAACGGAAGGCAAAGGTGGTATGCTGTGGCAGAGGTGTTATGTTCCTCTCCAGGAAAACTAGAAGCGTATGTACCAAGGTTGTTTTAAGGGCTCTGTTGTCATTAGGTGCTGTTGAAGTGACTATGACTCATTAACAACCCTACAAACAACAGATTAGAACTTTACCCTATCCTATACCACCGTCAAAATCTTTCCCAGGCACAAGCTCATTCACTGTTGCAATGACTATAGCAATCCATTCCATTGAAGGCCGTCTATCTACTTTTCAAAGCATGACATCCTTTTGTAAGTACTGGGCCCTCCTGCAAATATGCCCAAAGTGTGTGAGATAAGTCTCCCCATCCTTGTCTCTAAAGAGCACCCTAGTTGTACTTCCTCTAAGACCGATTTGGTAGTCCTTTTGGTAGTCTATGGGATATTCAATACTCTTTGTCAACACAATTCAAAGGCATCACTTCTTTTTCAGTCTTCTGTATTAATTGTCCAAATGTCATATGCAACTGAAAATATCATAGCTAGAATCAGGTGCACCATCACAGATACATCTAGAAAGGTCTACCTACCTACATTAAAACTAGAGGCTCTGATTGCCGAGTGTTAAGAAGCTGTGCTGCAATCCCAAAGGCACACCCATAGTAGAAGGATAGGCAGTCACCACCCACGTTGATTTACTGCCTCTGAAAACCCACTGGAGTGTCAGCTACAAAGCTATGAGTCAGTTCTGACTCAACAGTACACAACAACATCATTAACACACTACATTTTCATGCCTTGGAGTAGGGGGCATCCCAAAATCTTTTAGGGCTAAAAAATAAAATTGAAAAATGAAGTTTCCCTATAGCCACTGAATACAAGAGGATTTAGAGTACTGATTGATTTCAGTCCTGTATCAAGCTCAAAAGATGTGGATTTAACACAAATCTAAGCAAGCAAGTCTTACCCAGAATTTCCGGCAGTTTTTGTACTTCAAGAACTGAGTGGAACACCTTTCCTTGTCATAGTTATTTTCATTCATACATCTGGTAGAAGCATCAGATTCCTTTAACATGTAAGATAGGCATCATTAAAAGTTGCAATGAGATCTAAAAAAATAGAAGAAATTCTGAAGCTATGTCTCCCAAAAGAGATATGAAATGGTTCATTTTTGTTTGCTTTAATAGGTAGACTAATAAAAACAGAATTCACTCCCAACCTTCATTCTGGGCAGGGAAGACATCTTCTGGGTTAGTATTCCAAATACCCAAATCAGAAAAATTTGAGTCAAGACTTCAACTGAGATCATTTAATGCAATAACCGTTTAACAAGGAAATTGAGGCAGGATACAATGTGCTCCAAATTGCCTAAAGGATAAGCCAGACTTGTTCACAACACAGCTCTATTGCTTTTCAGGTCTTTGCCCTGATCTGCGTGTGGAGGACTGGTGTGGAGATCCCAGGTAAAATCACTAGTGGTTGATGTACATCAAAGCAGTTTGAGTTAACATCATTCATCACAATGCACTCTGGCTATCATTCACTCCATTACGCAAGTAAATACACTATTATGTGAACAATTTTAATAGATATCATTAATATCACTTCAAAACCAAAGTGAGCAACAAAGACCTATGAGTTCAAAGGAGGGCAGCTGTCATTTGGAAATTAAATTTAAACTGTTTGAACTGGAAATAGACTGCATAAGAAAACTTCAAAGTGAAAGGAATAATTCTGAAAGATCATTTAAAGGAAAGCTTTAACTAAAGAGATGGGTAATTTGCTTTAATAGATCTAAGAACACATGGTCAATCTAAACAAACTTATTAAAAGTGTTGAAAATTGATCCACTATATAGAACAAAACTAAATTTCTATGACAAAAATATAATGAATGTATAAATTATCTACAAAGTGCATATGGGGCGGTTGTTGTTCACCATTGAGTCAGAGCTGACTCATAGCTGACACTCTAGTGGCTTTTTAGAGGCAGTTAATTTCAAGGGAGGAGACTGCCCATACTTCCCCCATGGAGCAGCTGGAGGATTCAAATCATGAGCTTTGGGGATTGCAGTACTGCTAGGGGGGGAGTGTGTACAATTTCTACAGCCACTCCACTGGAAAAAGATGCACAGTCTTCTCCCATGAAGATTTACAGCCTCAAAAACGAAGGGAGGGTAATTATGAGTTAGAAATTATTTCACACAGTGGGTTAGTGAAAACTTTTAGACTATAAACAGGCTAATTAACTTGAGTCCATTGTGTTCAGTCTGTTTCAAGGACATGAAGAAATAATTGTATTAAAATATAAATTTCAGTGGCAGTTTACATTTGTAGTAAAGATTTTATTCAATGTTACATGTACGTGACAAGTATTACTGTGAAAACTAAACCCATGTATATTACACAAATATGAGAACTAGTGGATCTTTTGTTAACTAAATTTTGAAAACCAAGAAACACTTTAGTGAAACAGGACATCAACCAGGAATATTCTTATATGGAAATAACTTTATTCAGTAACTACAAAAAAAACAGAGCAGTGAAAACTAGAAGAACGTTGTTCCAACTTAACACTCTTAAACATGAAAAGCCGCCCTACCGACAAACAAGGGTTTATGTCGGGGTCTCTTAGCTTCCGCATCACGAGGGGCATACTAGCGGTCTTTTGACTCTGCAAGGAGAATTTTGGAAAAATAGTTATTAAGTGAGTCAGAGAAAAGAAATTTGATTAGTCCCATAAGTACTCAAAAATTAATTATGAAAGAAAAAAAAATTAATTATGGTATGATTATGTAGTAAAAAAATGTATACTTTTTGTTTCAGAAGAATAAAGACTTGAGCATGTTTTTTACTTGTATTGACCATCATTCTGTAATAGGAGCCTTGGTGTCATAGTAGGTTAAGTGTTGGGCTTCTGACTGAAAAATGAAAAATCTCTTCCCATTAAGATTTATAGTCTTAAACCCAGTGGAGGATCATCATGAGTCAGAATCCGCTGGATAGCAGCAGATATGGTGAGACCAGGCAGAAAAACATATTTAAATACATTACTGAACTTTGATTGGAATCTTAAGTAAACACATGCTAGTTTATGCTTATATCTAACATTTAAACAGTTAAATAAATGCACTAACACAAATCTAAGAATATAGTGTCATAGCAAACTAACCATTGTCAAGGTTAGTTTCTTCTACAGCGTGGCTGGTGGGTTCAAACCTAAATACACAAGTTTTATTATGGGTTAACAGTTTAATAGGCTACAGATTATGCCCATACTTTTTACTTCTTCATCATACTTTGATAAACAAACAGTATAAGAAAGAGTAACTTTGATAAGCAAACACTGTAATAAAGAGTAGCTACCAGAAATTCTGGGTAAGACTTGCTTGTTTAGACTTGTGTTAAATCCACATCTTTTGTACTTGAAACAGGATTGAAATCAATCAATACCAACTTCAGCAAAAGCATGTATCATGAAAAGGACCTTAGTGCCTACTCTGTGGCCAACCAGGAGGGTGAACAAAGTCAAAACTCCAGTGAACTTTTAAGGTGACATTTTATAAGCTACAGAGTGTTAGAGGGGGGGAAAATGTTTAGAACTTTACTTCCAGTGACACCTTCTATTTAATGGATATTCTTAAAAGTTGAAGAATGCTACTATGGTTTAGTGATCTTCCAACTGAAGCCTTACAGATACAGTTCCATAAAAGTCTCTATTGACAAAAAAAAAGTCTCTATTGACTAAAGACCATCACAGTTAAGAAAATGGCAGTTAATTAAACTACATTAAGTCACATATGATAGGCATAAGAACTCTATTCCAGGACAACTGTTTTTTATAATGACATCAACTAAATTGGAATGCTTCTTTTCTGAAAGAGGGAGGAAGATGGGCATTCTCCTCCTGTGCATGCTGCCTCTAAAACACTCTGGAGGGTCAGCTACGGGTTGGTTCCACCTTGATGGTAAATGACATTTTCTTAAAAGGGAGCTCTGTTGATATAGTTGATATGGGGTTATGCTATCAACCCTATAGCAGGTGGTTCAAATCCATCAATTGCTCCAATGGAGAAAGATGGACAGTCTACTCCAGTGCAATTTATAGTCTCTGAAAACCTGCAAGACGGTCAGCTTTGTGTGTGTTCTTATTTCTTGTTGTGTACAGTTGAATCAGATCCAACGGGCACAGGAGGAGACTGTTCCTCCTTCTCCATCAGAGTATCTGGTGGATTTGAACCACGTGCCTTCAGGATTGCAGGAAAGAGTCAGCTTTGAGTTGGTTCCGACTCAATGACAATAAGGAAGAGTAAGATTCTCTTAAAGTTCAGAGAAAAATTATTTCCAAGTGATTAGTGGTTTAAAAATGTTACAGGAAGAGACTGTGCATTGTGTTCTCTCTCTCTCTCTCTGACACACACACACACATATACACACATAGATATGTAAAAACCTCATTGCCTTACAGTCAGAACTGACTCATAGCTGACCCTTCAGCAGGTTTTCTGAAGATTAAATTGCACAGGAGGAGATTGCCCATTTTTCTCCCTCTGAGAGGCTGGTGGCTTTAAAAGCCTGTGGTTTCAGTGTACCTGGACTACACTACCAGAGCTCCATGTAGGTATAGCACACATGGAACATAGCATGTACTCTTGACCTCTGTTCCTGCTTTATCAATCTTCCTCCTAAAAGACAGGTTGCTGTTAAATACAGCAGAGTCAGAACTGACTCATAGTTGACCTAACATCAGAGGCAGTAAACTGGAGAGGAGAAGACTGCCTATCTTTCTGCCGCAGAAAAACCGGTGAATTTGGATGATGTCGGGTTGGCAGCATAACTTCTTACCACTAAAGCCACCAGAGCTCCCAAAATAAAGGGAATCCAGCAAACAATGTATGACATATATTATTCAGCTCCACTGAATAAAGAATGCATTGGTTGGTACTAATAACTAGACAAAGGATTGAGGTGGCGGCATCGTGTTCTTCCAGGCCAGGCCTAAATCATGCCAGAGCAGACGGGGGATGGTCACCCCATGGTAGATGGCACCGCTCCTCTCGCTCTGCCCAGAGGTTCATCACCCCTCTTCCCCATCAGCTAGCAGTGTGTGGTGGGCAGCGGTGTGGAACCTGGCCCTACCTCGCTTGCCTGCCCTTGTCTCGTGCTGTGTGCTACATGCTGTGTGGCACCAGCGGCAGTGTGGAGTTTTCTGACTGGACGGGCCTCCCTCGCCCATCTCACTGCCAAGCTGCAAGTGTCCGCTTCCTCCCCGCCAAGGGGTCAGCTACTCCTGCCTGATGCCCTGTGTGTGAATCCTCCTCTCCCCTTTTTACATCCTGAGCCCAAGGTGAGGTTGTCAAAAAATGTCATGCTAACATAAAATGCGATCAGGAAAAATAATCAAGCCCCCTAAGTTCCTGAAAAGTGGAAGTATTCTGAGTTAACAGTGTCATTTAGTCCAATTTCTCTTGTTGTTTGTTGTTATGTACCAATGAGCTGAAAGTGACTCATAGCTGACACTCCACCAGGTTTTCAGAGACAGTAGATCATCCAAAATACCATGCAGTTTGCAAGTACTCCACTGAAAGATCAATGCCTTTGAGTTTGGTGCTGGAGAAGAGTGCTGTTTCATGGACTAACAAATGAATAAACAGATATATATGTCTTGGGAAAAGTATAGCCACAGTGCCGGATGGTGAAGCTTCTCATTTACTTTGGCCATGTTGTTAGGAGAGGCTATTCCTTGGAAAAGGACATCATGATGGAAAAAGTGGAGGGTCAGTGAAAGAGAGACTATCAAAGAAATGAACTGACACAGTGGCTATAGCAAAGGGATCAAATTTATCAGAAATGATAAACTTGGCACAGGATAGGACAGATCTATTGCTCATAGGGTAAGTCATACTTGATTCAAAGGCACTTAACAACTGCTAGGGTGGCATCACGATTCCTTACCACTAAGCCACTAGAGATCTATTTTTTCCTATTAGAGAAAATCTAAGCTAAAGGGGTATGTGTATGTGGGGGCGGGGGAAGGAATCAATATTTATAAAAAAGGGTAGAAAAGGCTTGGGTCATCATTGTTGTTACAGTTAGGGGCCATCGACTTGAGTACGACTCATAGCAAGCCTATGAAAAAAAGATCCAAACCCTATTCTATCCTATGCTATCCCTCACACTTCCTGACATTCAAGAGCCCAATGAAGCAGTCACTGTATCAATCCACCTGGTTGAGTGTCTTCCTCTCTTTCACTGACCCTCCACCCTCCTGAGTATCATGTCCTTCTCCAAGGAATAGCACCTCCTAACAACATGCCCAAATATGTGAGATGAAGCCTCATCATTCTTGCTTCCAAAGAGCACTCCAGCTGCACCCTTTCCACAACATATCTGTTTGTTCTCCTGGCTGTCCATGAATGTTCAGTGCTCTTCTCCAACAAAGTTCAAAGGTGTCAACTGTTTCCCTGTCATCCTTACTCACTGTCTAGCTGTCAGATGCATAGCAAACAATCAGAAAGACCATGGCCAGAACCAGATGCAACTTAGTCCTCAAACTGATATCCTTACTCCTTGATAATTTGAAGAGGTCCCTAACTGCAGATTTTCCCAGTGCAATGCATCTCCTTATTTCCTGATTACTGGTACCGAGAGTGTTAACTGACCTGATTTCTGAGTCATTACAGAGTCCTTTTATTTCAGGACTAAGTAGTCATTTTATGATTTTCATTGAATAGTATACATGAAAATGCCTCACTAACAAAAATGTATTGGAAAGAAATTCAAGATGTTATTCAATTACATCTAGAAGTGTCTTCCTTTTCTGAACAGAATTCTAATGGAGACGTCTTCCCAAAAGAGCTGATGAATTAAGTGAATGCTCAGCCTTCTTTCCATACTGATACTGTAGTGCAGGAACAAAACTTTGCTCCACTGTCCTCATTTCTGTATATAAATCAATAGTCAATGCAGACAAAAATGAGGTGGCAGGCCTTACATTCCACTGTGCACCATCCATTTGTAAGGAATTTTTTTAAAAAGTATCACGTAAGTGGAGGAGGCTTATAGCATTTCTGTATTCACATTTTCTTTTTCTTCTGAATTCTAAATATAAATCAATTTGAGTTTGGATTTCTAAATGTCCCCCTCCCCTTTCTGCATGAATTCCTCATAAACTGACTGTTAGTGGCGGTGAGTACCATATAGTGGAAACTGACTCATAGCTGGCCCTCCAGCAGGTTTTCAGAAGTAGTAAATCGCACAGTAGATTACCCATCTTACTCCCATGGAGCATCTGATGGATTCAAACTATGTACCTTTGCGACGGCAGCACAATTCTTTACCTCTAAGCCACCAGAGCTCCCTCAACTAAATAAAGTGTGAATTTAAAGTAAGGACTAGGCTGAAGAGCAAGACAGAATGCATTGCTAAAAAGCCTTATATACTTACCTCTTCTTGAAGGTATTCAGTAACTATTACAAGGATCTGACTGCCAGAAAGGAAACTGAAGATTTTTTAAAAGGGGCCAGAAAAATCACAGAACATTTAAGGAATAACTCACTGGAATAGGCAAATTGCTTTAGAGTCTCGACTTCCCCATCCAACTGGTTCACATCTCCACTCTCCAAGGAGCTTTGAAATGGAAGGAGGGAGGAAACATTACCGAAATCG